GACAACAAAACAGACGGACACATCTACATTCAACAACAAAAAAACAAAAAAGTATACAAATATATAACAATAATAGTAATAATAACAACAAAGGTGCACAATTAGACAAAGGTAGATTATTAGATGCTAAATTTATACTACAACTGTGTGTGTGTGTGTGCGTGTGTGTGTGTATGTGTGTGCGTGTGTGTGTGTGTATGTGTGCGTGTGTGTGTGTATGTGTGCGTGTGTGTGTGTATGTGTGTGTGTGTGCGTGTGTGCGTGTGTATGTGTGTGTGTGTGTGACATTTAAAACACTATATAGAACAAAAATATCCACTGAGAAAGTACGTGAAGAACCTTAAAACGACATGGAAAAGAGGTGTAGGATCAGAGAGTGTTTGGGTCTGTACCTTATTTGTGTGTGTGTGTGTGCGTCTGTGTGTGCGTGTGTGTGTGTGTGCGTGTGTGTGCACTTGTTTTCAACTCCTGGTGGGTTCCATAACCTGAGATTCCACTCACGTCATGGGGACTGGTTTTACGTGGTGGGGCCCGAACACCGGACCCCACTGGTCCAAGCTTAATAATCAATGGGTAATGCTTTTCTAACGGTCCTTATGCAGTCTCTGTAAAAATATGGAAAGGACCCCTGGAGGTTTACTTTCCTGAAAAAAGTGTGTTATGTGTCGGAACCCTGGTGGTGGGTTGCGGGATATCAAGGAGGGGCACACTGGGGCAATTTCAGTCCAGCAGGCTGGAGCCAATCATGGAGCAGCACAACAGAGGAAATCAGGTGTCAGGCTAGAAAAAGGTGCAAGTGTGTGGTTCATTAGGCTGCAAGAAATCATGGAGGAGCACACTGAAGCGCACGCTTACAAACCACTGGTAAGTGCTGACTACAAGTCATGACTTCAAATTGTTATATAGAATGATTACAAATTATTTGTTGTTTGTGCAGCTTAGTCAAGAGTCCCTAATTGATGAAGTCGACTCAGATTCTGACGATTTAACTGTCAAGAAGAAACCTGTAAAAAAGTATGGAAAAAGAAAAATCAAAAACACTTTTCTTCAAGACTCGGAAAGTGACGAACCAAAGGCAAATAAGATTGTTATCATGCAGCTGCAAAAGAAGAAAAATGGGGGTCGAGTTTACAGCAAGAGACACTTCTGCCTCTACTGTTCAATGTCCTGCCACAAAATGTCCCGTCATTTGACTAGAAAACATGGAAATGAAAGTGACGTAGCCAGAGCATTGGCTCTACCTGTGAAATCTAAAGCACGTGAACTTCAGTTTGATTTGATCAGGAATAGTGGAAACCGTGAGCACAATGTTGAGGTTTTAAAGGCCGGCATTGGAACTTTAGTCCCAGCTAAACAACCGAATTCCCCAGTTAAATCCAGTGAGTTTTTGCACTGTATAGACTGTGGGGCATTGCTTAAGCGAAAGTCGCTGTGGAGGCATGTGGCCAGGTGCCGGCTTTCACAGAAAGATGCCCAGGCTAAACCAGGTAGAAGTAGGGTCCAGTCCCTCTGCTCCCTAGCCCAGCCTGTACCGGAGGGCATCAGCAAAAAGCTGTGGTCTTTAATTTCGGCAATGCATCAGGATGAGGTCACGGGTGTTGTCAAAGCAGAAAAGGGGATTCTGAGACTCGGAGAGCACCTACTTAAAACACGGGCATGATAAGACTAGGCATGATTACATTAGGCAGAAAATGAGAGAAGTCGGTAGGTTAATTAACGAAGCAAAAACTGCAGGGAAACTGAAAACAATGAAGGATTTCTTTATTCCTTCCAACTTTAACCATGTGATTGATGCAGTCAGGTCTGTGGCTGGATATGATGAGGAAACAAATCAATACAAGACTCCATCCTTGGCCCTCAAACTCGGCCATAGCCTCAGAAAGCTAGCAGATATTCTTGAATGTGACTCAAAAATGGAGCATTGTGTTGATGAACTATTTTTTAAAAACCTCCAACGAAGCCGGCTGCTTTTTGAGAAGAGGTGGGACGTCTGTGTTTCTTCTGCTGCCCTACAGACCCTCCGGCAAGCCAAGTGGAACACTCCGGACCTGCTCCCTCTGACTGAGGACGTTAGAGCCATACATGCACATATTGAGGTATGTGGACCTGAATATGTGCAAACCCTAATAAGTGAGCCAACGTCTAAGCATTGGTCTAAACTGGCAGTTTTGACTCTTTGTGAGGTCATTATTTTCAATCGAAGAAGGGAAGGTGAGGTTTCAAAGATGCCACTGACAGCCTTTACCTTAAGAAGTAAGACTGGGATCCATTCTGACATTGCTCTGGGACTGTCCCAACTTGAGAAAAAGCTGTGTCAGCATTTTCAACGCATTGAAATTAAAGGGAAAAGAAGTCGGAAAGTGCCGGTTCTTTTGACTCCTGAAATGATTGCTTCGATGGAGGTGCTGGTGGAGAACAGAAGGGCCTGTTCCATCTCTGACCATAACCCATACTTCTTTTCCCGCCCGGGCGCAGACACCCACATCAGGGGATCAGACTCCCTACGCCAGGTAGCCAAAGAATGTGGTGCGGTGCATCCAGAGATGCTATCCTCAACCAAACTTAGAAAGCACATAGCTACTATGTCTACAGTTCTCAATATGAAAGAGAATGAGATGGACATACTAGCCAACTTCCTCGGCCATGACATTCGCATCCACAGACAATATTACAGACTACCAGAGGGGACACTGGAGCTGGCCAAAATCAGCAAAGTGTTGATGGCCATGGAGCAGGGAAGAGTGACGGAATTCGAAGGAAAGAGCCTCGACCAGATACAAATTGAGCCTGAAGGTAATTCTTGATATTATTAAAATATGTATGATTTTTTTCCCCTAAAGGCCACTTGTATTTTTATTTTCTGTGCGACAGGGAGAGCAGTAGAGATCCTCTCACAAACGGACGGGCTAAAAGAAACTTCAAGCGGAGAACCTTCAACCATTCATCCAGATGCACCCCATGGTAGTGGCAGTGCCCCTTCTGGTAAGTGTACCAGGTGGGGGATTACAGCCAGGCTGCTTGGTCCTAACCCTGGGAGTGTATATTGCTAATATATTTTTATTTCTCTCCCTAGAACGTGTAAGAAAGCCATGGTCTGCATCTGAGGTGAAGGCTGTGGAGAAGACCATGACACCTTTCATACAGACTGGAAAGGTCCCTGGGAAGTCTCACTGCCTGGCCTGGCCTGGCCTGGCCTGCATTAATGCCTCACCAGATGACCTTAGACATCGGACATGGAGTGCAAATTCTATGTCAAAAATAGAATCACTGCAATTCAAAAAAAAAAATCTAAAATAAAATTCCTTTAAAATAGTTGTTTGTTTTCTATTGACTGTTTTGTATTACTTAAAGTAGTCCCAGTAAAAAAAGATTATGTCTATGGGTCCCATTCTGAACGGCCCTGTCAAAGGGACCCACCAGGTAACAAAAACGTGTATGTGTGAGTGTGTGTGTGTGTGTGTGTGTGTGTGTGTGTGTGTGTGTGTGTGTGTGTGTGTGTGTGAGTGTGTGGGTGTGTGTGGGTTCTGTGTGAGTGTGAGTGTGTGTGTGGGTTCTGTGTGGGTGTGTGTGGGTGAGTGTGTGTGGGTGTGTGTGGGTGTGTGTGTGTGTGTGTGTGTGGGTGTGTGGGTGCGTTTTTTGACTTTCTATAAAAATACCCTTTTCGGGTTTTTATTCACATTGTTGTAATACTGTAATAATAAATCGGTTTTATATAGTGCTTTTTTGGACACTCAAAGACGCTTCAAATGTCATTATTCAACAACTACTGTAGCCACAGCTGCCCTGGGGCACACTGACAGAAGTGAGGCAACCAGTCTGTGCCATTAGCCCTTCCCACCACCACCAACCATTCACACACACACCAGACTCATTCTAATGGGGCTGAAGTGTCTTGCCTAAGGACACAACAGCCCCACTGTGGCATCAGGTGTTCCCAGAGGTTAAGTGTCTTGCCCAAGGACACAGCAGACATCAGTGGAAGTCCATGGTGGGCTTGAACCTTCAGCTTCAAAGTCCAATGCTCTACCAACCGAGCCACTGTCGGCCTTTTCTCAGCTTTAATAAATAATCATTTTAAGTGAATTTTGTCTAGGGGATAAATAGAAGTTTCAGATTCTTCAGCCATAACACATTTGTCCTTAATAACCAGTGTCCTTTTCTCATCAGATAAACACTGAGCTTTTGTATCGAAAAATAACCTTCAGGACAAGGTTTTATAACATTCTGTTTTGAAAGAGTTATAGAAACAGTTTGGGTAATTGGCAGTTGAAATCTCACTGGAACTTATGGGTAAATAAACGGGAATAATAAGAAGAACATGTCTGTTTGTGGATTGGAAAAGAGTTTTTTTCATGCATCCAGTCATTGGACAATATTTTTTTATGTCATGTAACTTAAAGTAGCAGTGTGTAAGATGTTCATGTCATTAAAGGTCAAGAAACTTCAATAAAACATGCTCTTTTCCAATAGTTCTTTAACTGATAACTGTAGTTCAGAGATATTTGGATTTCATAATTAGTTTTATAGCCCCAAAATATTGTTATTGTTTTCATTTTGATCGTTTCACTAATCAAAAAGTCCGTAATCCGGGCTCCAGAACTCGCCGCGTCTAGCTAATCTCACTGGTAAAGTAACATGGGTTCTTTTGCATATCTGGCAACCTGAATCAGGAAGAGTGGGGGAGGTTACAGTCCCATTTTTGTCCAGATTATTACATACTGCTCCTTTAAAGCTAAATTACAAACAGCAAACTAGTATGTAACTAGTAACTGTAACTAGTATGAGACTAGTTCAAGACTGCAAAATATCAAATGTTTACTAAAAATAAGAGTTTTGTCATTCATAAATCAAATTGTATTTCTTCCTGTAGGGAGAATTTTGTTTGATTTAGGAAACAAAAACAGTGGGGACGCGACCTTTAATGAAACCATGAAAATGTGTTTTGTGAGTCTCACTGATATCACTTCACCCTCATGACCACAACAGACAATACTTGTAACTCACTCCAGAACCATAAAGTCTGACTGAAGAGACACCTGGTTTATATCACGACTGTGGTGTGGTTTAAAGACGTCTTTTGTGTCGTGTTCAAAGACAGGGAGGGGCACGAGGTGGGGCAAGAGGAGGGGCACGAGGTGGGGCACGAGGAGGGGCATGAGGGGCACGAGGAGGGGCGTGAGAAGGGGCATGAGGAGGGGCATGAGAAGGGGCAAGAGGTGGGGCACGAGGAGGGGCACGAGGAGGGGCACGAGGAGGGGCACGAGGAGGGGCATGAGGGGCACGAGGAGGGGCGTGAGAAGGGGCATGAGGAGGGGCATGAGAAGGGGCAAGAGGTGGGGCACGAGGAGGGGCATGAGAAGGGGCACGAGGTGGGGCACGAGGAGGGGCACGAGGAGGGGCACGAGGAGGGGCACGAGGAGGGGCAAGAGGTGGGGCAAGAGGTGGGGCATGAGAAGGGGCACGAGGTGGGGCACGAGGAGGGGCACGAGGAGGGGCACGAGGAGGGGCACGAGGAGGGGCAAGAGGTGGGGCAAGAGGTGGGGCATGAGGAGGGGCTTCTCCATTGTGGGTAAATAATATTGTTTCACTAATGTTCTCCCACATGTTTAACTTACAAATGTCCACTGAAAAATCTTGGTAGGATTTATTTACTAAGAAATAACATAAATTATACATTTTTGGCTGGGCGCTCCATGGAGGAGCTCAGTCACACGGGAGGAGCTCGGAGTAGAGCTGCTGCTTCTCCACGTCGAGAGGAAACAGTTGAGTCCAATCCTGGACGTCTCCCTGGGGAGGTGTTCCGTGCACGTCCCACTGGGAGGAGACCCCGGGGAAGACCCAGGACACGCTGGAGGGACTATGTCTCTCAGCTGGCCTGGGAGGGCCTTTGGGTCCCCCCGGACGAGCTGGAGGAGGTATGTGTGGATAGGGAAGTCTGGGCGTCTCTGCTTTGACTGCAGATGAAGTGGAAGAAAATGGATGGATGGCATCTATCACAATCGTGGCATCTATTTCTATTGTGGCCTCCATCGATCGGCTGGACTGTAGGGTGTAGTATAAAAAAGATCATTTCTGTGGCTCCAATATAGTTTAGGATGTGAATTATAAATGTCACAGCAGAACGTGTCTAAGTCCAGAGTGAAGGCTGCATGCACATTCGATTGGCCACTGACCCAGAGCAGCCCCGTCCCCAAACGTGTTCCGTAAATGTAATCCTTTAACATCCTCTGCCTCTGAGAGCGGACATGATGGAGCGAACATAGAATCCCTTTTAGAGATAAAAAACCGGCATCGTCCATTTGTAACCACCAACTCACCAGGTTCTTTCCACTGCGGGGCCAAAGAGACGTCTGCCGCCAAGTATCTCACAATGCAAAGCTCAGAACTAACTCCACATTTAATGCCAGAAGTCCCGCCTCTGTGTAAAAAAGTGCTTTCCACAGAGCCACTCTAGATTTATCCGGTCCTCTACTGTCTTGTCTCTTTTGCTACTCGTCCATATCTGTCAAAATCACATAGAAGCAGCTGCTAAAAAAGCGCCATAAACTGACCTGGCGATCGCTACACATGGGAAAGGGGTGTGATGGGTTCTAGACCGTGAGGCAGTGAAATGGAACCATTGTCAATCTACTTTTAATTTATAGAAATTATTTGTAATTATCCTAAATAAATCCCTTTAAGAATGGCAGACCAGTGATTATTATTGTATTCACTAAATAATAATTATATGTGCACTTTATTGTCCCCGTTGGGAAATTTGTCCTCTGCATTTGGCCCACCCTGATGCCACTGAGGCTTACGTCAGGCGCAGTGGTCGCCGTAGCAACAGCACCTGAGACCCATCTCCAGATGTTGATGCTCGGCAAGGTCAGGGCCGCAGCTGGAGGATTCTAGTATTGTGGTAGGGAAACTTTAGCACCCAGAGGAAACCTACGCAGACACGGGGAGAACATACAAACTCCACTCCGAAAGACCCTGTTCAGACCGGGATTCGAACCCAGGACCTTCTTGCTGAGAGGCGAGAGTGCTATCCCCTCAGCTACCTGTGATTGGCATGTGATTAGGAATATTGATTCTCGCTGTTCCAATCCACCCTCAGAGAATAACCACAAATTGTGAAGAAACTTTAATATACTACAAGCTTTTAATTAGGTAAACAAGATAAACAATGTAGCCTCTGACATCCACCTCTGACATCACCGCTACGGCGCCGCGACGCTGTGTGTGCGAAATGCTAATACGTTTAGAGAGCGTGTCCTCCTCCAATAAAGAAGGCCCGGTTTATTACATCCCCTTCACTACAAAACTGCCTCTAGGCCCACATTCCACTGCACTAATTAGGCTGCGATCGTGAACATGGCGCTTATCTCCACGTTGTCTGGGAGAGTCGCAGATTGACGCAATTAGCAGCAGCAGCAGGTTCGTAAGTTTGCTTAATTAATAAGAAGTAACGGCGGTGAGATTTGCATGGGCCTCGTCAGCCAATAAGGCTTCTTGAAGTTGACGCGCTGCCAAGAAACACATGCTAATCTGCCGCCTATCATTCCCCGGTAAATATTAGCATAATGTCTGGGGCTGTGGAGTCACGGCGCATAGGGGCGTTTGTGTTTACGAGTCGCCAGGGTTGGTTTTAAAAGCGTACATGAATTTTTTTTATTCAAATGTTTAGCTCATCTCCAGGCAACAGAAGTCTATTCTTATAAAGTAGACACAGGAGAAAACACCACCTCCGGAACAGGGCACAGGGACAAGTTGTTGGCAGTGGGAGGCCATGGACTGATTCTGTGCTGTTTATAATGCGTGAGATACATTTGGATATTTATTAAATCTACATACTAAATAAAATACATTAAAAATACCACCCAAAACAACAAAGTCTACTGGGGACAAGACAGTTCCCATTTAATAACATCGAGTCCCCAACAATACTAAAACCAATTCTCACAAAGTTATAGCATGTGAACTTGTGATTTGAAGAAATATTGTGACTTTTTATGCCTCTCTTTGAGGCCGAAGCAAATTCTTATTTTTTATTTCCTGTTTCTTACAATAGCAATAAAAGCCGAGTCTGATTCTTAGAAAAATGTGAATGAGTAATCACAAATCCAAACCTCATGTCGTATCAAAACTACTCCTACTACTACTGAAAAGAAGGGTCACAAATACAGAACCATAAACAACCACTGTTTCTACAACAGATACTCAATGTAGGCAAGAAAGTCATATGTTAGAGATAGAGTTAGAGTTAAAGATAGAGATAGAGTTAGGGATTGGGTTAGAGATAGAGTTAGAGATAGAGTTAGAGTTAAAGATAGAGATAGAGTTAGGGATTGGGTTAGAGATAGAGTTAGAGATAGAGTTAGGGTTAGGGTTAGGGTTAGAGATAGAGTTAGAGATAGAGATAGAGATAGAGTTAGAGATAGAGTTAGAGATAGAGTTGGAGTTAAAGATAGAGATAGAGTTAGGGATTGGGTTAGAGATAGAGTTAGAGATAAAGATAGAGATAGAGTTGGGGATTGGGTTAGAGATAGAGTTAGAGATAGAGTTAGGGTTAGGGTTAGGGTTAGAGATAGAGTTAGAGATAGAGATAGAGTTAGAGTTAGAGATAGAGTTAGAGATAGAGTTAGAGATAGAGTTAGAGATAGAGTTAGAGATAGAGTTAGAGATAGAGATAGAGTTAGAGTTAGAGATAGAGTTAGAGATAGAGTTAGGGTTAGGGTTAGAGATAGAGTTAGAGTTAGAGATAGAGTTGGAGTTAGAGTTTACGTTGTTGTGGCCTTCACTTCACACAGAGATGGGAGCGGGGCCAGCACAAGAGTCACATGCCAGATCTATAGTACAGGTTTTTAGTGGGAGGGGAAACCGGAGCAGCCGGAGGAAACCTACACAGACAAAGGAAGAACATCCAAACTCCATTCAGAAAGGCCCTGTTCCAAACAGAATTCGAACCCAGGACCTTCTTGCTGAAAAGCATGAGTGCTAACCACCGAACTAATTTATTTCAAACCAGTAGCACTCTGTGGGAAAAGGGTGGAGACTGGTGAGTACTGATACACACAGGTACACACTGATACACACTGACACACACAGGTACACACTGATACACACTGATAGACACAGGTACACACTGATACACACTGATACACACTGACACACACAGGTACACACTGATACACACTGATACACACTGATACACACTGATACACACAGGTACACACTGATACACACTGATACACACTGATACACACTGATACACACTGATACACACAGGTACACACTGATACACACTGATACACACTGATACACACTGATACACACTGATACACACTGATACACACAGGTACACACTGATACACACTGATAGACACAGGTACACACTGATACACACTGACACACACAGGTACACACTGATACACACTGATAGACACAGGTACACACTGATACACACTGATACACACTGACACACACAGGTACACACTGATACACACTGATACACACTGATACACACAGGTACACACTGATACACACTGATACACACTGATACACACTGATACACACTGATACACACTGATACACACAGGTACACACTGATACACACTGATACACACTGATACACACTGATACACACAGGTACACACTGATACACACTGATACACACTGATACACACTGATACACACAGGTACACACTGATACACACTGATACACACTGATACACACTGATACACACAGGTACACACTGATACACACTGATACACACAGGTACACACTGATACACACTGATACACACAGGTACACACTGATACACACAGGTACACACTGATACACACTGATACACACTGATACACACTGATACACACAGGTACACACTGATACACACAGGTACACACTGATACACACAGGTACACACTGATACACACTGATACACACTGATACACACAGGTACACACTGATACACACGGGTACACACTGATACACACTGATACACACTGATACACACAGGTACACACTGATACACACGGGTACACACTGATACACACAGATACACACTGACACACACAGGTACACACTGATACACACGGGTACACACTGATACACACTGATACACACAGGTACACACTGATACACACAGGTACACACTGATACACACTGATACACACTGATACACACAGGTACACACTGATACACACTGATACACACAGGTACACACTGATACACACAGGTACACACTGATACACACTGATACACACTGATACACACAGGTACACACTGATACACACAGGTACACACTGATACACACTGATACACACTGATACACACTGATACACACTGATACACACAGGTACACACTGATACACACAGGTACACACTGATACACACTGATACACACAGGTACACACTGATACACACGGGTACACACTGATACACACTGATACACACTGATACACACAGGTACACACTGATACACACGGGTACACACTGATACACACAGATACACACTGATACACACTGACACACACAGGTACACACTGATACACACGGGTACACACTGATACACACAGGTAC